CCTTGAAGTCCTGATGTCTGCCCCTGGCCAGCCCGGCTGGATGTTTGAGCTGTACCCCGGATCACCTCACTTGCTCATTATTGATTCTGGGGAGCAAGCAGGCCACCCAGTAAAACACAGAGCCTGTTCCTCACCCCACCCTGTGAAACACAGGGTGCCCAGGCACAGGGCCCCCCAGTGAGAGGGGGCCCCAGGGCTGGGCAGCTGCGGGGGCAGAAGTTTGATCCTGCCAGCTCCTGGGGTTCCTGCTGCAGGCTCCGCCCCAAACCAGCAACTAAGCTCCCCTCCCGCCTCCTCCCCCAAACATGCCGCGTTCCCGCCCCTTCCTCTCCCGCTCCCTCCCAGTGCTTCCCCTGCTGCCGAACAGCTGTTTGCCGGCGTTCAGGTCGCTCTGGGAGGGAGGGGGAGGAGCAGGGCCGCAGGGCGCTGGGAACGGAGGCGGAGAAGAGGCGGAGGCGGGGCCTTGGGGAAGGGGGTGGAATCGGGACAGGGCAGAGGAAAGGCAGGGCCCCCGTACTCCCTCTACACATACCCCACCCAGCCCCCTGCCATGAGCCACTCAGGGCAGGGGGCTGGGAGCACCCCCACAACCTCAGCCCACACCCCCAGCCCCCTGCCCTGACTCTGCACCCCCTCACGAATCCCCAACCCCCTGCCCTCTCTGACTGCTGCAGCCCCCCACATACCCAGGCCCCCCACCCCATGCCCTGAATCCTGCACCCCCCTACATCCCCACCCCTAACCTGAGCACCAAATGGGGACTCCAGCACTCCCTCACACACTCCCAGCCCTGACTCCTGCAGCCCCCTCATACGTCCCCTGCCTCCTGCCCACCCTGACTCCTGCCGCCCCCCCACATCCCCACCTGCACCCCTCGCACCAAACGGGAGCTGCCCCAGGTCAGCACTCCACACCCCAACCTCCTTCCCCAACCCTGAGCCCCCCTCCCGCACCCTAACTCCTGGTTAGACCCTGCACCCCAACCCTCAGCCTGCACCTGCAGCCTAACTCCCTCCCAGACCCTGCACCCCCAGCCCTGAGCCTCCTCCTGCACCCTAAGTCCTGGCCAGACCCTGCACCCCAAAGTTTTTTTACATTTTCTTTTCATAAAGTGCTTTTATCAAAAGTGCTTTACAGTAGTTAGCTAACGGTAGAAACAATATTTGGAAAGGTCATTAAGTGTTCCGCCGAGACCCTCAGCAATCCTCAAGTGGTCTGTGGAAAAATAAGTTAGACTACAAAAACAGTCAAGTACCTCACTTTATTTTCATTTACTTCCTGTGACTTATAGAAGGAGGATGAAGAAAAAGAAAGAATGAAAAACGGGATCCTGGAGGGAAAGATAAGAGAGAATGTTCTTTTTCTTGGCTGGGTCCCAAGGAGGGGCCCCAATAATGAAGCTGGGCACAGGGCCCCAATAACTCTAAATCCGCCACTGCCCCCAGCCTCTCCCGCCCGCCGGTGGGCCCCGGAGATCGGCACCTGCCCCTCCCTGCCGCAATCAGCTGTTTCGCGGCATGCAGGGAGGCTGGGAGGGAGGAGCAAGGACGCGGCGCGCTCGAGGGAGGAGGTGGAATTGGGTGGGAGGAGGCGGGGCGGGGACAGAGCCTGGGGTAGAGCTGGGGGTCGAGCACCCACCAGCACTTTGAAAAGTCGGCACCTGTGGCTAAACCCGCTTGCAATGGGTTCCATGCTCCCTGGCTCTTCCGCAGCTGCCGCCTGTGGGGTTAATAGGCCTCCAGCAAGGGGACTGTTGGCTCCTGACTGAAACTCAGTGGGGCTTTTGGTTGCCATCTCCCTGTGCCAAAAGAAATGGGAACGGTCAATGAGTAGGGCTCTACCAAGTTCACGGCCGTGAAAAACGCATCACAGACCGTGAAATCTGGTCTTTTATGTACCCTGTACTGTACAGATTTCACAGGGGAGACCAGCGTTTCTCAAATTGGGGGTCCTGACCTAAAAGGGAGTTGCAGGGAGGTCACAAGGTTATTTTAGGGGGATCAGGGTAGTGCCACCCTTCCTTCTGTGCTACCTTCTGAGCTGGGTGGCTGGAGAGCGATGGCTGTTGGCTGGGCACCCAGCTCTGAAGGCCGCACCCTGCCACCAGCAGCGCAGAACTAAGGGTGGCCATACCATACCATGCCACCCTTACTCCTGCATTGCTGCCTTCACAGCTGGGCGGCCAGAGGGTGGCGGCTGCTGACCGAGGGCCCAGGGCTGCAGGCAGCAGCGCAGAAATAAGAATGGCCTGGTATGGTATTGCCACCCTGACTTCTTCGCTGCTGCTGGCGGCGGCTCTGCCTTCTGAGCTGGGCTCCCCGCCAGCAGCCGCTGCTCTCCAGCTCCCAGCTCTGAAGGCAGGGCCGCCACCAGCAGCTGCACAGAAGTAAGGGCAGCAGGACCGCAACCCCCCCTACAATAACCTTGTGACCCCTCCCCACAACTCCTTTCTGGGTCAGGACCCCTACATTGACACCACCGTGAAATTGCAGATTTAAATAGCCGAAATCATTTAAATTTGATTTTTAAAATCCTATGACTATGAAATTGACCAAAATGGACCATGAATTTGGTAGGGCCCTACCAATGAGAAATCAAGGTCCCCAGGGCCAATGGGGAGAAGCCACGGCTCCAGCTCGGCCTGATTGACAGGGCAAGCAGGCTAATGAGGGAGTCAGGAGCCCAGGGCCTGTCCTCAGGGTGAGCTGGAGCTGACGGAGGCGGAGCAGAGCTGAGCTGCGGGCAGAGCTGCCCAGCAGCCAGAACCAGAGGGGCCAGAGAAGCAGCCCAGGGGAGCTCAGGGGAGCTGAGCCAGAGCCGAACAAGAGCAGCGCTGAGGCAGGTGGAGATGGAGCAGCCACGTGGACGGGGAGCCAGGGCTGAGCTACAGCGGGGAGCTACGGACCCAGAGCTGGGGAGCAGACGCCGGCCATGAGCCGCTGGGAAGTGCGAGTGGAGGCCCTGGGCAGGGAGATGCCACCAGACAAAAGGACTTGCAGGCCGGACTTCAGGGGCACCATTTAGGGAGGGCAGCAGGGGCACCTGCTTTCCCTGCCCCTGAGTTTTGTACCACATTTGGTGAAGTCTGCAGCAGGAGGGAAGATGCTGACCCCCATTCCCCCGCCCCGCTGCTGCCCTATTCCACTGCTGTCTGCAGCTGCCACGCTGCCCCCGCTCCCCCACCATGGAGCCACTGCTGGCCAAGCTGCTCAGGACCGGGAGCCTGCCTCCTGATCTGCTGCACAGAGCTAGGTGGGGGCTGATGTCAGGGTGTCCCCCTGCCCATGTAACCAGTCTCCATTGAGCTGGGGTGTGGGGACGGAGCCTGTCTTGGCTGGTGCCTCTGGCTCTGATGTGGGAGTTGCTGCTGTACTGAACAAGCTTTCAGGCTCCTGAGTGCTCGGCTTAAAGAGACAGCTGGCTGACACACTCACTCAGGCACATGCTCACTCCCCCCGCAACACACACCCAGTCTCCCTCGCACTCCCCGCCCAACAAACACACACTCACACGCAGTCTCCCTCACATGCGTCCCACAACAGACACGCTTTCTCTCTTTCTCACACACACTTGTAGTGGTGCTATTATTACATCTGGATACTTCCTGTCAAAACGTACATATGTTCTCTGCCATTTTATTTTGTCAACGTTCGCTAAGGATTACAGTGCTGTTACTTTACAGTTTTTTGCCTGGTCTGTGCATTTCACAATTTTATTTCTCTCTTATGATTAAATTTAATTCTGAGCAGTGAGTTCTAAAATGCCGAACCTGTCCTGGCTGGAGTAATTATCCTTATTACTTTTATTACCAAATTATGCTTTTGTCATTCATTGATTAAAGTGGTACAATCAAATAATAATATCCTTCTAGAATGTAAATTTATCTTGTACTCGCCTTAGCAGAGCCAGTTTAAAACAACATTAGCTAAACACAGAACCTTAGACGCTGCAGATGAAGGTCGCTTATTTTCAAATTGTATTTTTAGTTATCTCTGTAAAATAACTTAAAATTTGTACAAAAATTAATGTGGTTCCAAGTAATGATGGAGTCAAATGTTAGTGAGTTACGTACATGATTTACATTGGTAAACATAAATGCCAAAATAATTAGAAAAATAAATTTGTTTCCTTAATAAAAGAGGGGAAAAAACTTAACCACGCATGTTAAAATTAAATACGTTTTTAGTGGAGTGAAAAACAGATGACTAAAATGGAGTGGATAATGGCCGTAACACAGAGTGTGTCTGTTAGAGAAAGTAAGCAGATTTTATTTATCTCTACTAAAGATAGTGTACAAAGTATCAAACTTGTGTTTCTGATATCTGTGTCAAGGCTCCAAAACCGATACCTCAAGCTTTGGGATTGGGACTATCTTGCTGTGTTATCTCCTGATTGATTTAAATTTGCAAAAAAATATATACAAACACCAATTAAAGCCATATTTTAAGTTTATATTAGGGCTGTCAATTAATCGCCATTAATTCACGCGATTAAACTCAAAAAATTAATCGCAATTTAAAAAATGTATCGCAATTAATCGCCGTTTTATTAAATATTTTGGATATATTTTCATATATACTGTATTTTGTGTTGTAATTGAAATCAAAGTGTATCTTATTTTTGATTACAAATATTTGCACTGTAAAAATGATAAACAAAATAAAATTGACAAACAAATTTGTTTAAACAAATAAACAAACATTAATGAAGATATTGAACAAAACCGGCCCCAGGACTGACCCTTGGGGCACATCGCTTGATACCAGCTGCCAACTAGACATGGAGCCATTGATCACTACCCGTTGAGCCCGACAATCTAGCCAGCTTTCTATCCACCTTATAGTACATGGCAGAGGGGCATTGCTGGCACATGATGGCATATATCACATTGGTAGATGTGCAGGTGAACGAGCCCCTGATGGCGTGGCTGATGTGATGACCTGTGAGAGGAACTTCAGCCACAGCTCCAAACTCATGATCCACCAGAGGACCCATAGCAGAGAGCGGCCGTACAGTTGCCACCTGTGTGGGAAGAGCTTTGTGAGCAGTTTGCACCTGCTCAGCCATCAGCAGGTCCACACAGGTGAGCAGCCCTACAGGTGCGAGGAGTGTGGGAAAAGGTTCCTCTGGAACTCCAAGCTGATCAGCCACCAGAAGACCCACACAGGGGTCAAACTCCATCGCTGCTCCCAATGTGGAAAAAGGTTCAGCCAGAGCTCGACTCTGATGAGACACCAGAAGATCCACACAGGACAGAAGCCCTACAAGTGTCCCCATTGCGGGAAGAGCTTCGGTGAGCGGTCCAACCTGCTCACCCATCAGAAGACCCACCTGGGTTACAGATCCTACTTCTGCCCTGAGTGTGGACAGAGCTTCAGACAGAGCTCCAACCTGATCCGGCACCAGCGCATCCACACTGGGGAGCAGCCTTACAAATGCTCTGACTGCGGGAAAGGCTTCAACCAGAACTCGGACCTCATGAAACACTGGAGGATCCACATGTCAGAGAGGCCCTATAGTTGCCCCCAGTGTGGGAAGAGCTTCAGCCAGAGCTCAACCCTGATTCAGCACCAGAAAACCCACATAGGAGAGAGACCTCATAAATGCCCTAAGTGTGGGAAGAGCTTTAGCCAGAACTCAGCCCTGATCAAACACCAGAGGAGCCACATGGGAGAGAGACCCTATAAATGCCCCGAGTGCGGGAAGAGCTTTGGTCAGTGCTAAATTCTCACTCAGCACCAGGAGACCCACACTGGGGAGAGATCCTATAAATGCCCCATGTGCCAGAGACGGTTCAGCCGGAGCTCCAACTTCATCGAGCACCAGAGAGTCCACTTGGGCAAGAGACCCTATAAATGCCTGGAATGTGGGAAATCCTTCAGCCAGAGCTCCCACCTTGTCCAGCATCAGAGAATCCATGTGCAGGAGGAGCCAACCATGGATCTGCCTTACATTAGTAGGGCCCTACCAAATTCACGGCCATGAAAAATGTATCAGGAACCGTGAAATCTGATTTCCTCTGTGAAATCTAGCGATTGTAGGGGCAGGGCTGGCCTTACAGGTGGACAAATGGGCAACCGCCAAGGGCCCCATGGTCGGGGGGTGCCAGGGTAACCCCCCACCCCACACACAGCCAGCCCAAGCAGCTGGAGCCCTTTAACTCCCAAGCGCTAGGCTCCAACTGCTAGGCCTGGATGGACTGGAGAGGGACAGGACTTCCTCTTCCTCTGCACAGGCTGCTCCCAAGGTCGGGTCAGACCTGTCTCTGGGAACCTCCCCTGGCTGCAGGAAGCTCCGTGGCCGCTGGCTGGGAGTTCAGCGCTGCAGGCAGTGTGGCCACTGGCAGCAGCGCACCCGTGAGTGCGGCACGGCACAGCGTGGTACTGCCACCACCCGTCGGTCTGTGCTGCTGCTAGCAGCGGCGCTGCCTTCAGAGCTGGGTGCCCGGCCAGCAGCTGCCCTCTGGCTGCCCAGCTCTGAAGGCAGCAGTACAGAAGTAAGAGTGGCAATATCATGACCCCCCTACAACAACCTTCGAACCCTCCCCCCCGAACCCTGGTTTGGGTTGGGACCCCCAAGGTTACAACACCGTGAAATTTCAGGTTTAAATATCTGAAACCGTGAAATGTATTACGTTTAAAATCCTGTGACCATAAAATTGACGGAAATGGACCGTGAATTTGGTAGGGCCCCATACATTAGGCATGACTCATGTTAAAGACACTGTATTATTACAATAGCACCTGGACGCCCCAGCTGAGATCAGCGTCCCCATTATGCCAGGTGCCGCACAGATCCTGACTGGGAGCAGGTTCCCAGGTGCCAGGTGCCGCACAGATCCTGACTGGGAGCAGGTTTCCCAGGTGCCAGGTGCCGCTCAGATGCTGACTGGGAGCAGGTTTCCCAGGTGCCAGGTGCCACTCAGATCCTGACTGGGAGCAGGTTCCCAGGTGCCAGCTGCCGCACAGATCCTGACTGGGAGCAGGTTCCCAGGTGCCAGGTGCCGCACAGATCCTGACTGGGAGCAGGTTCCCAGGTGCCAGGTGCCGCACGGATCCTGACTGGGAGCAGGTTCCCAGGTGCCAGGTGCCGCACAGATCCTGACTGGGAGCAGGTTTCCCAGGTGCCAGGTGCCGCACGGATCCTGACTGGGAGCAGGTTTCCCAGGTGCCAGGCCGCATGGATCCTGACTGGGAGCAGGTTTCCCAGGTGCCAGGTGCCGCACGGATCCTGACTGGGAGCAGGTTCCCAGGTGCCGCACGGATCCTGACTGGGAGCAGGTTCCCAGGTGCCAGGTGCCGCACGGATCCTGACTGGGAGCAGGTTCCCAGGTGCCAGGTGCCACACAGATCCTGACTGGGAGCAGGTTCCCAGGTGCCAGGTGCCGCACAGATCCTGACTGGGAGCAGGTTCCCAGGTGCCGCACAGATCCTGACTGGGAGCAGGTTCCCAGGTGCCAGGTGCCGCACAGATCCTGACTGGGAGCAGGTTTCCAGGTGCCGCACAGATCCTGACTGAGAGCAGGTTCCCAGGTGCCAGGCACTGCACGGACCCTTTCTGAGATAAAGGCCTCCATTGTACCAGGCCCTACACAGACCCTGACTGAAATCAGTGTCCCCACGGTGCACTGCACAAACACACAATAAGTCAGTCCCTGCCCCAAAGAGCTCACAGCCTAAATAGACGAGACAGGGAAAGTGAGGACTGTTTCCTCCATTTTATAATAGAGAGACAGAAAGACTAAGGGTAACATTTGTAAAAGCAGCTAAGAGACTTAGGAGCCTAAGGCCTGGTCTACACTACAAAGTTTTGTTGGCCTTGCTGTGTCATCTGGGATTGTGAAAAAAATCCGTGCCTGGATCAGCTGATATAGCTGTGCCAGCAGAACCCCTGGTGTAGACACAACTATCCTGATAGAAGAGGGCTTCTGTTGGCATGTTCGGGTAGATGGTGTAGCTATTCTTCCGACAGCTTACACCGTGTTTCCACTAGGGGGCGCTGCTGGTATAGCTATACTAGCCAAGGCTCTGTGGTGTAGACAAGCCTTAAGTCCCATGTCAAAAGTGAATTAGGCACCTAAGTCTCATTGAAAGGCTCCTAAGGGTATGTCTACACTACGAAATTAAGTCGAATTTATAGAAGTCGTTTTTTTAGAAATCGGTTTTATATATTCGAGTGTGTGTGTCCCCACAGAAAATGCTCTAAGTGCATTAAGTGCATTAACTCGGCGGAGCGCTTCCACAGTACCGAGGCAAGCGTCGACTTCCGGAGCGTTGCACTGTGGGTAGCTATCCCACAGTTCCCGCAGTCTCCGCTGCCCATTGGAATTCTGGGTTGAGATCCCAATGCCTGATGGGGCTAAAACATTGTCGCAGGTGGTTATTGGGTACATATCGTCAGCCCCCCGTTCCCTCCCTCCCCGCCCCGTGAAAGCAAGGGCAGACAATCATTTCGCGCCTTTTTTCCTGAGTTACCTGTGCAGACGCCATACCACGGCAAGCATGGAGCCCGCTCAGCTCACTTTGGCAATTAGGAGCACATTAACCACCACACGCATTATTCAGCAGTATATGCAGCACCAGAACATGGCAACGCGATACCGGGCGAGGAGGCGACGTCAGCGCGGTCCCGTGAGTGATCAGGACATGGACACAGATTTCTCTGAAAGCATGGGCCCTGACAATGCATGCATCATGGTGCTAATGGGGCAGGTTCATGCTGTGGAACGCCGATTCTGGGCTCAGGAAACAAGCACAGACTGGTGGGACCGCATAGTGTTGCAGGTCTGGGACGATTCCCAGTGGCTGCGAAACTTTCGCATGCGTAGGGGCACTTTCATGGAACTTTGTGACTTGCTTTCCCCTGCCCTGAAGCGCATGAATACCAAGATGAGAGCAGCCCTCACAGTTGAGAAGCGAGTGGCGATAGCCCTGTGGAAGCTTGCAACGCCAGACAGCTACCGGTCAGTTGGGAATCAATTTGGAGTGGGCAAATCTACTGTGGGGGCTGCTGTGATGCAAGTAGCCCACGCAATCAAAGATCTGCTGATATCAAGGGTAGTGACCCTGGGAAATGTGCAGGTCATAGTGGATGGCTTTGCTGCAATGGGATTCCCTAACTGTGGTGGGGCTATAGACGGAACCCATATCCCTATATTGGCACCGGAGCACCAAGCCGCCGAGTACATAAACCGCAAGGGGTACTTTTCGATAGTGCTGCAAGCTCTGGTGGATCACAAGGGACGTTTCACCAACATCAACGTGGGATGGCCGGGAAAGGTGCATGATGCTCGCATCTTCAGGAACTCTGGTCTGTTTCAAAAGCTGCAGGAAGGGACTTTATTCCCAGACCAGAAAATAACTGTTGGGGATGTTGAAATGCCTATATGTATCCTTGGGGACCCAGCCTACCCCTTAATGCCATGGCTCATGAAGCCATACACAGGCAGCCTGGACAGTGGTCAGGAGCTGTTCAACTACAGGCTGAGCAAGTGCAGAATGGTGGTAGAATGTGCATTTGGACGTTTAAAGGCGCGCTGGCGCAGTTTACTGACTCGCTTAGACCTCAGCGAAACCAATATTCCCACTGTTATTACTGCTTGCTGTGTGCTCCACAATATCTGTGAGAGTAAGGGGGAGACGTTTATGGCGGGGTGGGAGGTTGAGGCAAATCGCCTAGCTGCTGGTTACGCGCAGCCAGACACCAGGGCGGTTAGAAGAGCACAGGAGGGCGCGGTACGCATCAGAGAAGCTTTGAAAACCAGTTTCATGACTGGCCAGGCTACGGTGTGAAAGTTCTGTTTGTTTCTCCTTGATGAACCCCCCGCCCCTTGGTTCACTCTACTTCCCTGTAAGCTAACCACCCTCCCCTCCTCCCTTTAATCATTGCTTGCAGAGACAATAAAGTCATTGCTGCTTCACAGTCATGCATTCGTTATTCATTCATCACACAAATAGGGGGATGACTACCAAGGTATCCCAGGAGGGGTGGTGGAGGAGGGAAGGAAAATGCCACACAGCACTTTAAGCACAGCACTTTAAAAGTTTACAACTTTAAAATTTATTGAATGACAGCCTTCTTTTTTTTGGGCAATCCTCTGTGGTGGAGTGGCTGGTTGGCCGGAGGCCCCCCACCGCGTTCTTGGGCGTCTGGGTGTGGAGGCTATGGAACTTGGGGAGGAGGGCGGTTGGTTACAGAGGGGCTGCAGTGGCAGTCTGTGCTCCAGCTGCCTTTGCTGCAGCTCAACCATACACTGGAGCATACTGGTTTGGTCCTGCAGCAGCCTCAGCATTGAATCCTGCCTCCTCTCATCACGCTGCCGCCACCTTTGAGCTTCAGCCCTGTCTTCAGCCCGCCACTTACTCTCTTCAGCCCGCCACTTACTCTCTTCAGCCCGCCACCTCTCCTCCCGGTCATTTTGTGCTTTCCTGCACTCTGACATTATTTGCCTCCACGCATTCGTCTGTGCTCTGTCAGTGTGGGAGGACAGCATGAGCTCGGAGAACATTTCATCGCGAGTGCGTTTTTTTTTCTTTCTAAGCTTCACTAGCCTCTGGGAAGGAGAAGATCCTGTGATCATTGAAACACATGCAACTGGTGGAGAAAAAAAAAGGGACAGCGGTATTTAAAAAGACACATTTTATAAAACAGTCGCTACACTCTTTCAGGGTAAACCTTGCTGTTAACATTACATACATAGCACATGTGCTTTCGTTACAAGGTCACATTTTGCCTCCTCCCACCGCGTGAACGGATTTTGGTTGAATGCCAGCAAACATACACTGCAATGCTTTGTTCTACAGTGATTCCCGAGTACGTGTTACTGGCCTGGAGTGGTAAAGTGTCCTACCATGAAGGACGAAATAAGGCTGCCCTCCCCAGAAACCTTTTGCAAAGGCAGAACCGCAAATGCCAGGGCAAAGTAATCCTTTCACATGCTTGCTTTTAAACCATTTTAAAAGGTACACTCACCAGAGGTCCCTTCTCCGCCTGCTGAGTCCAGGAGGCAGCCTTGGGTGGGTTCGGGGGGTACTGGCTCCAGGTCTAGGGTGAGAAACAGTTCCTGGCTGTCGGGAAAACCGGTTTCTCCGCTTGCTTGCTGTGAGCTATCTACAACCTCCTCATCATCATCTTCTTCGTCCCCAAAACCTACTTCCGTATTGCCTCCATCTCCATTGAAGGAGTCAAACAACACGGCTGGGGTAGTGGTGGCTGAACCCCCTAAAATGGCATGCAGCTCATCATAGAAGCGGCATGTTTGGGGCTCTGACCCAGAGCGGCTGTTCGCCTCTCTGGTTTTCTGGTAGGCTTGCCTCAGCTCCTTCAGTTTCACGCGGCACTGCTTCGGGTCCCTGTTATGGCCTCTGTCCTTCATGCCCTGGGAGATTTTCAGAAAGGTTTTGGCATTTTGAAAACTGGAACGGAGTTCTGATAGCACGGATTCCTCTCCCCAAACAGCGATCAGATCCCGTACCTCCCGTTCGGTCCATGCTGGAGCTCTTTTGCGATTCTGGGACTCCATCATGGTCACCTGTGCTGATGAGCTCTGCATGGTCACCTGCAGCTTGCCACGCTGGCCAAACAGGAAATGAGATTCAAAAGTTCGTGGTTCTTTTCCTGTCTACCTGGCCAGTGCATCTGAGTTGAGAGTGCTGTCCAGAGCGGTCATAATGGAGCACTCTGGGATAGCTCCCGGAGGCCAATACCATCGAATTGTGTCCACAGTACCCCAAATTCGAGCCGGCAACGTCGATTTAAGCGCTAATCCACTTGTCAGGGGTGGAGTAAGGAAATCGATTTTAAGAGCCCTTTAAGTCGAAATAAAGGGCTTCATTGTGTGGACGGGTGCAGGTTTAAATCGATTTAACGCTGCTAAATTCGACCTAAAGTCCTAGTGTAGACCAGGGCCTAGTGTCTCATCCGCTTTTGAAACTGTGATTTAGGCTCCTCAGTCACTTTTCAAGCATTTACCCCAGGAATCGATCCCAGCTCTCCTGAGTCCCGGTACAATACCTTTCTCTACAAGGTCATCCTGCTTCGCTTCCTTTTCTGAGCGGACAGAGCCACTAGTGTTGATGGGACCGAAAGCACACTCCCACGCTGAGCTCAGGGGGGTGAGAGGCAGGTTCCATACTGTCAGAGCACTGGCTACGATAAAGGCTGAATGCTCGGGTAAAAAAGGCCCAGTGCAGGGCTTGGCATCCAAGTACAGACTCCAAAGAGACACAAGACTGTTGGTTGATTCCTGAGATTCAGGGCCTGATCCAATTCCCATCACAATCAGTGGGCCAGAGCCTCAGCTGGTGTCAACTGGCATCGCCCCATTGATTCCGGTGGATCTACAGCCCATTCTAGGGTGACCAGATGTCCCAATTTTATAGGAACAGTCCCGATATTTGAGGCTTTTTCTTATATAGAAGCCTATTACCCCCCCCCCACCCCTGTCCCGATTTTTCACAGATGCTGTCTGGTCACCCTGGCCTATTCACACCAGCTGGGGACCTGGGCCAATGAGAACCTTTCCACTAATTCCAATGGGTGTTGGAACAGCCCTGTAAGTAACACACCCTCCCCCTGTGACAGAAAAATGCAGGCCTGGCCCTGTTTGAAAGCAGCTGTTGAATTCTGTTTTGTTCATGATTCTTGGATTCTCTGTCTTCTTGTGCGATCGGGGAGCTGTATCCTTTCCCCTCCTAGCCCCACCACAGATCCACGTGATCAGCAAGACATCTGACTGGCCAATGGCGTTAGTATCTTCTGAGACTCCAATCAGGGACACAAATGGCCCCATGCTCTGCTGTAATGACTTTGGACGAGAGGCCGGTTGTATCTGTCGTTTGCAAAGACCCCAATAAATAAAATCTGGTTTTATTTCATATGGAAAATGCTTCGTTTCAAGATTGGGAGACTAGCGGAAAGACTAATTAATTACTCTTATTATTGTTAACCTTAACAGATCTTAATGGCCTCCTGTAAGATCAGGGCTCCATTGTGCCAGGTGGGACGCAGACACAGAATAAGAGATAATGGAGGCCCTAAAGAGGTTAATATGAGATAGCAAAGGGCAGGAGCAGGGTGACCAGATGTCCCGATTTTATAGGGACAATCCCGATTTTGGGGTCTTTTTCTCACATAGGCACCTATTACCCCCACCTCCTGTCCCAATTTTTGACACTCGCTGTCTGCTCAGCCTCGGCAGGAGGGAAACACCCACAAAGAGAGGAATGATTTGCCCAAGGTCTCCCAATAGTTGAGCGGTAGAGACAGGTACGCAGGAACCTCCCAGACCAAGGGTGGCCAACCTGAGCTCGAGAAGGAGCCAGAATTTACCAATGTACATTGCCAAAGAGCCACAGTTATACATCAGCAGCCCCAGATCCGCTCCCCCACCCCACTCCCAGCGCCTCCCGCCCACCTGCAGCCCCGCCGATCAGCGCCTCCCCCTCCCTCCGGCACCTCTCAATCAGCTGTTTCGTGGCGTGCAGGAGGCTCTGGGGGGGAGGAGCGAGGTCACGGCAGGCTCAGGGGAGGGGGCGGGAAGGGGTAGAGTGGGGACAGGGCCTGTGGCCGAGCCAGGGGCTGAGCAGTGAGCATCCCCCGGCACATTGGAAAGATGGCGCCCGTAGCTCCAGCCTACGCTGACCGGACATCCCGATTTTGGGGTCTTTTTCTTACATAGGCTCCTATTGCCCCTCACCCCGTGTCCCAATTGTTGACACTTGCTATCTGGCCACCCTACTCCAGCCCCAGAGTCGGTGCCTGTACAAGGAGCCGCATCTTCACTTCTGAAGAGCCGCATGCGGCTCCAGAGCCAGAGGTTGGCCACCCCCGGCCCGGACAATAAACCCAGCCAGCTTTGCTACATTGATAATAAAGGGACATCCGTTGTGTGCGGCACACGGACCCTGCCTCGGCGTTTACAACCTTTGGAACCAAGAGTGGGGAGCTGAGAAGAGCCGTGCTCCCCCCCAGAGGTGGTTGCTGGGAAGGGATTTGCCAGGTAAACAGCCCCTGCGCCCCACCCCAGGGGCCACTGCAATTCAGCACCCGGCGAGGGATCCCTGAATACCCAGCCCCCACCCCAGGGGCCGCTGCATTTCAGCACCCGGCGAGGGATCCCTGAATACCCAGCCCCCACCCCAGAGGTGGCTGCATCTTCAGCCAAGACCTAGGTAGGATTTGCAAGGCGTCCAAAAGGCTCTTCTGTGGCAGACGTTGAAGACATACGGGAGGCTCTTGGACTGGGATCTCTGCAGTGATGGGACAGGGCCCCCCCGCATCATCCCCCACCCCAGGGTGAGCTCTCGCCCCTCTTCCCTGGGAAAAGCTGCCCCCCAGCCGCAACCAGCGGAGCGCCTCAGGCCGCGGGCTCCTCGCAAGGACTCGGAAGTTGCCGCCAAGGGGTCTGAATAACGCAGGGACCTTCCTGTTCCCAGCTGCCCCCTCGGAAAGCGGCGGCGGCGGCGGGGTCCCAGCGCGGGGCCAGCGCGCCCGGCCCCCGGGGGAGCCCCGCCAGCGGCGCGCCGGGCAGGGGAACCCGCAGGGCCGGGCTGGGGGATCGGAGCCAAATGGGGGCTAGAGAGACCCCCCCCCCCCCAGCCGGGATGCTGCGGGATAAACCCAGGGAGCTTTGTGTGTAGCCAATAGCCGCTGTTTCCTTCCCCCCGCATGGAGCCAGGGGACGAGCCGGGGCTCCCGGATCGCCAGGGCTCCCCGGGAAGGGGGATCCCCAGAGGCGCCCGCACCGGTGAGGAATGAGCGAAGGGGGGAGCCCCAGTTCCGCCAGCGGCTGGGTTACACTCGCCCCCCGTCCTTCCCCGGAGCTGGGGGGTCCTGCCGGCCGGCCGGGCTTGTCCGGCCTGGGGCAGACCCGGGAGCTTGGGAAGGGGCCGCAGAGAAGAGGACGCGCAGGGGGGCGATCGCTGCTGCTCTCCGAAGCCGGGCCGGACGCCTGGGTTCTATTCCCTCGCGCCCCCCCCCCCCCCAACTCCGCCTCTGGCCTCGGCTGCGGGGCCCTGGGGAGCCGCCTGCCCGCTCTGGGCCTCCCTTTCCCCGTCACTTCTTGGCTCTCTAGGTTGTGAGGGCAGGGACTGTTTCTCGGGGGGGTGGGAGTGCAGTACCTGGCAGGAGGGGGCCCTGACTTTAGCCGGAGTCTGTGCAGTGCAAGGCCTAAATGGGGCCCCAGATCTGAGTCAGGGTCTGTGCAGCGCCTGGCAGGAGGGGGCCGTGATTTTAGCCGGAGTCTGTGCAGTGCGCGGCGTAATGGGGCCCCAGATCTCAGTCAGGGTCTGTGCAGCGCCTGGCGTAATGGGGCTCTGGTCTCAATCTCATCTCTGAGCAGCACTGAGCAGGACGAAGCACGTCAGAGCAGGGTCTGGGGGGCTCTGGCTGTGGGATTGGTACAAATGTTGATTTCTTTGTAGCCAAGCCCTTTGCCATCCCCTCTCCGGGGCACAGCCCTGTCTGGACTCTCTCGCTCTCTTCCAGCAGGTGCCGGGACAGAGGAGGAGAATCCCCAGCCGGAAGGACCTGCAGGAACGGAGTCTCGCGGGATGTCCCAGAGCCCTGCCTGGGGAGACACCATTTGCGTGGGACGGCAGCCGGGAGATCCCGCAGGGGAGACCCCTGAAGGGTCAGAGGGCCCCGAGCTGCTTCTCAAACCCCTCAAGGGGCAGAAATCCACCCTCTGCCCCGACTGCGGGAAGAGCTTCGGGAACAGCTCGCACCTGGCCCGCCACCGCCGCACGCACACGGGGGAAAAGCCCTACGCCTGCCCCGAGTGCGGCAAGAGGTACCGGCAGGACTCGCACCTGGCCCAGCACCGGCGCTCCCACACCGGCGAGCGCCCCTACCAGTGCACCGAGTGCGGCAAGGCCTTCGCCCAGAGCTCCAACCTCATCATCCACCAGCGCACCCACACGGGCGAGCGCCCCTACACCTGCGGGGAGTGCGGGCGCAGCTTCGGGCACAGCTCGGACCTGGCCCAGCACCGGCGGGTTCACACGGGGGAGAAGCCCTTCCCCTGCCCGCAGTGCGGCAAGCGTTTCGCCCAGAGCTCCAAGGTGGCCCAGCACCAGCGCTTCCACACCGGCGAGCGCCCCTTCGGCTGCCCGGACTGCGGCAAGGCCTTCCGGCTCAGCGCCGACCTGCTGCGGCACCGGCGTGCCCACACCGGCGAGAAGCCCTACGGCTGCGCCCAGTGCGGCAAGCGCTTTGTGGAGAGCTCCCACCTCCTCCGGCACCAGCGCACCCACATGGGCGAGCGGCCCTACCGCTGCCCGCAGTGCGGCCAGGGCTTCAGCCAGAGCTCCAACCTCGCCCAGCACCAGCGCACCCACCGGGGCGAGCGGCCCTACGTCTGCGGCGACTGCGGCAAGGCCTTTGGCGTCAGCTCGGCGCTGCTGCAGCACCACCGCACCCACACCGGCGAGCGGCCCTACCGCTGCCCCCAGTGCGGCAAGAGCTTCCGCGTCTCCTCCACCTACAACGTCCACCGGCGCACCCACACCGGGCTCAAGCCCTACGCCTGCGCCGACTGCGGCAAGGCCTTCAGCCGCAGCTCTGCCCTGCTCCAGCACCAGAGCACCCACACCGGCGAGCGGCCCTACCGCTGCAGCCACTGCGGGAAGGGCTTCGGGCAGAAGGCGGCCATGGCCCAGCACCAGAGGACTCACCTGGGCCAGGAGCCGACTGGAGTGATCCCGCTGGGGGACTGGGGCGCGTCCCAGCTCGGACAGAGCCAGCGGGAGGAGGCGGAGGAGGAGGAGGAGGGTGATGAGGCAGGAAGCAAGGAGAGCACCGGGCTGGGGTGACTGGGACCAGGGCACCGGGAAGGGAATATGTACCTGGCGGGGCAACGAAGGGAAAAGTGGAAGCTGCAGTGGACGCTGAGGGGATTGGTAGTAGGAGGATCACTGTGATGGTTCGAGGCGGCCTGGTTCAAGCTCCCGGGTAGAAGGGGAGGGGACTACGTGTCTGTGGGGAACGGGTGGCAGGGGACAGGAAGGGCCGCACGTGTCTGGGGGGAATGGGAAGGTCCGTACGTGTCTGGGGGGAACATAAGAATATAAGAACGGCCCTACTGGGTCAGACCAAAGGTCCATCTAGCCCAGCGTCCTGTCTACCGACAGTGACCAATGCCAGGTGCCCCAGCGGGAATGCACAGAACAGGCAATCATTGAGTGATCCATCCCCTGTCGCTCATTCCCAGCTTCTGGCAAACAGAGGCTAGGGACACCATCCCTGTCCATCTTGGCTAATAGCCATTGATGGACCTGTCCTCCATGAATTTATCTAGTTCTTTTTTGAACCCTGTTATTGTCTTGATCTTCACAACATCATCTGGCAAGGAGTCCCACAGGTTGACCGTGCATTGTGTGAAGAAATACTTCCTTTTGTTTATTTTAAACCTGCTGCCTATTAATTTCATTTGGTGACCCCTAGCTCTTGTGTTATGAGAAGTAGTAAACAACGCTTCCTTATCTACTTTCTCTACACCTGTCATGATTTTATAGACCTCAATCATATCTCCCCTTAGCCGTCTCTTTTCCAAGCTGAAAAGTCCCAGTCTTATTAATCTCTCCTCATATGGAATCTGTTCCAAACCCCTAATAATTTTTGTTGCCCTTTTCTGAACCTTTTCCAATTCCAATATATCTTTTTTGAGATGGGGCGACCACATCTGCACACAGTATTCAAGATGTGGGCTTACCATGGATTTATATAGAGGCAATATGATATTTTCTGTCCTGTTATCTATCCCTTTCTTAATGATTCCCAACGTTCTGTTCGCTTTTTTGACTGCCACTGCACATTGAGTGGATGTTTTCAGAGAACTATCCACAATGACTCAATGGTCTCTTTCTTGAGTGGTAACAGCTAATGTAGACCCCATCATTTTATATGCATGGTTGGGATTGTGCTTTCCATTGTGCATTACTTTGCATTTATCAACATTAAATTTCATCTGCCATTTTGTTGCCCAGTCACCCAGTTTTGTGAGATCCTTTTGTAGTTCTTCACAGTCTGCCTGGGTCTTAACTATCTTCAGTAATTTTGTATCATCTGCAAATTTTGCCACCTCACTGATTACCCCTTTTCTCAGATCGTTTATGAATATGTTGCATAGGACTGGTCCCAGTACAGACCCCCTGGGGGACATCACTGTTTACCTCTCTCCATTCTGAAAACTGACCATTTATACCTACCCTTTGCTTCCTATCTTTTATCCAGTTACCAATCCGTGAGAGCACCTTCCCTCTTATCCTGTGGCAACTTACTTTGCATAAGAGCCTTTGGTGAGAGACCTTGTCAAAGGCTTTCTGAAAATCTAAGTACACTGTATCCACTGGATCCCTTGGTCCACATGCTTCTTGACCCCCTCAAAGAATTCTAGTAGATTGGTGAGGCATGATTTCCCTTTACGAAAACCATGTTGACTCCTCCTCAACAAATTATGTTCATTGATATGTCTGACAATATTGTTCTTTACTATAGTTTCAACCAGTTTGCCTGGTCCTGAAGTCAGGCTTACAGGCCTGTAATTGCCGGGATCACCTCTGGAGCCCTTTTAAAAAATTGGCATCACATTAGTTATCCTCCAGTCATCTGGTAGAGAAGCTGATTTAAATGATAGGTTACCTACCACAGTTAGTAGTTCCACAATTTCACATTTGAGTTCCTTCAGAACTCTTGGGTGATACCATCTGGTCCTGGTGACTTATTGCTGTTTAATTTATCAATTTGTTCCAAAACCTCCTCTAATGATACCTCAGTCTGGGACAGTTCCTCAGATCTGTCACCTAAAAAGAATGGCTCAGGCTTGGGAATCTCCCTCACATCCTCAGCCATGAAGACCGATGCAAAGAATTCATTTAGTTTCTCCACCCTCCTCCGATGGGAACAGGCGGCGGGGGTCGGGAAGGGCAGTACGTGTCTGGCGGGGTTGGGATGGGCAGTACCTGTCTTGGGAGAATGGGCGGAGGGGCACGGGAAGGGCGGTATGTGTCTGGGAGGACCGGGTGGCACGGGTCGGGAAGGGCCATACGTGTCTGGGGGGAAGTTGCGAGGGTCGGGAAGGTCAGTACGTGTCTGTGGGGAACAGGCGGTGGGGGATGGGAAGGGCCGTACATGTCTGAGGGGAATGGGAGGAGGGGGACAGGAAGGGCCATGTCTGGGGGGGGAATGTGCGTGGGGAGACAGGAAGGACGGTACGTGTCTGGGGGGGACGGGAGGAGGGGGATGGGAAGGGTGGTACATGTCTGAGGGGGATGGGAAGGACGGTATGTGTCTGTGGGGGATGGATGGAGGGGGACGTGAAGGACGGTATGTGTCTGGGGGGAACGAGCAGTGGGGGATGGGAAGGACGGCACGTGTCGACGGGGATGGGCGGTGGGGGATGGGAAGGGTGGTACGTGTCTGGGGGGGACGGGAGGAGGGAAGGACGGTACGTGTCTGGGGGGACAGGAAGGGCAGTACGTGTCTGGGGGGGATAGGAAGGACGGTACATGTCTGGGGGGGACGGGAAGGGCGGTATGTATCTGGGGGGAATGGGCAGCGGGGGATGGGACGGGTGGTACGTGTCTGGGGGGGACAGGAAGGACGGTACGTGTCTGGCGGGGACGGTAAGGACGGTATGTGTCTGGGGGGGATGGGAAGGGTGGTACGTGTCTGGGGGGGACAGGAAGGATGGTACGTGTCTGGCGGGGACGGGAAGGACGGTACGTGTCTGGCGGGGACGGGAAGGACGATAAGTGTCTGGCGGGGACGGGAAGGACGGTATGTGTCTGGGGGGGACGGGAAGGACGGTACGTGTCGGGGGGGAACGTGCAGCGGGGGATGGGAAGGATGGCACGTGTCGGTGGGATGGGCGGTGGGGGACGGGAAGGACGGTATGTGTCTGTGGGGGATGGGTGGAGGGGGACGGGAAGGATGGTACGTGTCTGGCGGGGTCGGGAAGGGAGGTACGTGTCTGGCGGGGACGGGAAGGGCGGTACGTGTCTGGCGGGGACGGGAAGGGCGGTGAGAGCAGCGCTCTTTCCCCCACGAGCAGCGGCCAGGGCCGTGGCACTCAGAGCATGGGGTCTTGTGCCTTAAGATCCAGGGGTCTTATGTTCAAGTCCTGCTGCTGCCAGCCCCGCCCCAGCCTCTCTCGTCTGAGGCCTGGCTTCGCGGCTGAAATAACCCAGCCTCTTGCTTGGAGCCCTGGCTTGAGCAGCGGGTGCTCTCCCCATGTCGTCCGTGCTGGCCCCCCGCTGTGCTGCAGGGAGCAGGGCGGGGGCCCCGTAGGGGATGTTTTCCCCCTCCAGTCAGTGCTGACCTCAGAGCCCTGCCAGGGGGCGCGGAGCTGCTGTTTCTCAGGTGAGACATCAAACTGAGATCCTGACTCGTTTGCAGCCATTAAGAATCCCCAGCATCAGGACATCAACCTCCCCTCACCCCCCCCCCCCCCCGCAGTCTCAGTGACGTACGGGATTCTCCACTTCCTGGCCCAAACCGTTGCTGTGCTCTGTTAATATTGCTTTTTGCAACACCCTACCCCAGAGGAGGCTGCATTTCGCTGGAGATGTGAAGGGAAACCCCTCTTGGATCTGGAGCTCGACACTAACAGGGGGGTTGTAGAACGTACCTGATGGCTGTTTGAGAGCGTTAACTACGTGAGTGGAAAGCGTTATAATCACTAGTATTTTATTAGCCCAGTAAGAACTGGGCTCAGCGTACGATTGCCACATTTAAAGAGACGAGCCGGGGGAGGCTTTTTGTGTCCAACACACTTTCCAGACCCTTTCTCCTGATTTCCTAGTAATTTGTATTACTCGCTAGTTCCTGGCTAGGTGATCAGTGTCACCCTGTTGGGGCCCCTCTTCCCACCTCCCCAATCCCAATGCTCTGCATTCACCCAGCTCTGGCCCTGGAGTCCCCATTGCCGGGGCAGGGGTTATAACTATGGCCCTACCTAAATTAATGGCCACGAAAAACGTGTCACGGACTGTGAAATCTGGGCTTATGTGAACTTTTACCCTATGCTATAAAAGTATCCTATAGTACAGGGTGACTGTATACAGAAGTACACAGTGCTTCTCAAACTGGGGTTCCCTACCCAAAAGGGGGGCGCAAGGCTATTGTAGAGGGGTCACAGTATTGCCACCCTTACTTCTGCACTGCTGCTGGCTGCAGCGCTGCCTTCAGAGCTGGACACCTGGCCAGCAGCCGCTGCTCTCCAGCCACCCAGCTGTGAAGGCAGCACAGAAGTAAGGGTGGCAATACTGTGACCCCCTACAATAGCCTTGGGGACCCCCCTTTTGGACCGGGACCCCCGGTTTGAGAAACACTGAGTCTTAAGGGCTTTGCATGTTTATCTTTTGCTGTTTTTAAATGCACATTCATGTTTTGGTCCAACACCATGAAATTTAAGATTTAAATATCTGAAACCGGGACAGTCAAGATTTTTAAAATGCCATGACTGTGAAATTTACGAAAATGGACCGTGAATTTGGTAGGGCCCTAGTTATAACAGCCCCGTATGTGTCAAAGAAACAGCCTGGCTTGGGGGTTTCCACAGTTTGTAGACAAGAGATTTACCTCACTTGGAAATTGGTATTGACCCATGTGGGTTAAAGATCAGCCCCCTCGCAATGGAAATTTAGTGTGTGCCTGAGAGAGACACCCACATGATCCCAGAATGGCTCTTATTCCCCTCTAGTGGACTGAGTATTGAGGTCCTTTAGCTCAGGCACCAGAGATGGGTGCTTATAGGTGCCAGGGTTCAACCCTGCCAGCGGACGGAGCAGTCGTTGCTTGGGTGTCAAAGCAAGGGCCCTGCTCCCATGAAATTCCACCAAAGTTGGGGTACTCTGGAGGTGGATGTACAAAGAGATGTAGGGCTTTGGATGCTCAAAAGCACACCTAACCTGCACAAAGGACACCTGGGGGGAGCTTAGGACTGGTCGCTCATTAGCAGCCCACTGGTTAGAGCACTCCCATGGGATGTAGGAGACCAAGGTTGGAATCCCCACTCTCCCTGATCTGCAGCAATGACCTTAAACCACATCTTCCCAGGGGAGTTCCCTAGCCACTGGGCTATAGGGTATTCTAGTGTGGGAATCCCTCCCACTGAAGCTTTTCACTTGGTTTAAATAGTTATGGGAGCAGGGGTTTGAACTGGGGGGGCTTCTACATCCCAGGTGGCTGCTGGCTATCATGGGGTGATCATTCTCTGGGTTTTCATTAGAAAGGGCTCACCTGGCTGAGGCACCTAACAAAAGGAAGATCAGCTTTCCTTCCCTGTATCAGGAAATTCTTGATCCTCACCCTGCCACTGCAAGATGGATTCATAGATTCCAAGGCCAGAAGGAACCATTGTGATCATCTCGTCTGACCTGTGAAATCACAGGGGTGGGGGGTTGGGGGGGGGGGGGAAACAGGTCAGAGACCTTCCCCGAAATAATTCCTGGTCAAACTAGAGAAGATCTTTTTTTTAAAAAAAATCCAATCTTGATTTAAAAGTTGGCAGGGTAGAGAATCCATCACAGCCCTTGGCAAATTGGTCCAATGTTTAATTGCTCTCACTGTTAAAAACTGACACCTTATTTCCAGTCTGAAGTTGTCTAGCTTCAACTTCTGGCCTTTGGAACTTGTTATACCTTCTTCTGCTAGATGGAAGAGCCCACTAACAAATAGTTGTTCCCACTTATAGACTGTGATCAAGTCACCCCTTAACCCTCTCTTTGTTTGAGCTCCTGAAGTCTCTCACTGTAAGGCAGGTTTTCTAATCCTTTACTCATTCTCGTGGCTCTTCTTTGAACCCTCTCCAATTTATCAACATCCTTCTGGAATTGTGGGCACAGGATTCCAGCTGTGGTCGCCCCAGTGCCGAATACAGAGGTAAAACCACCTCTCTACTCAGAGGCCTCTGAGAGCAAGAGCAACTTCAAGCGAAGAACAGGGAAAGCGAAAATCCACGAGGCGATGGAAGCATCAGCATCC